ATGCCTTTCTATGATAAAACGTATTTACTCGATAAAGATAATTATGTGGAACATCTATTTTTAGACAAATCAACCATGAAGTTTAATTCAGAATTCGGATTCGATATTGTTAAACAATTATCTTTAGATAATTGTGATCTAAAGGATATTGACATAGAATGTTTCATCAATCTTAAAGAATTAAATATTACTGAATACAGTAATCTTGATTTATCAGAAATTATTGCGTTACCAATTGAATACACAATCTTTTCTGATTGTAATTTATTGTTAAGAGATGTTTATCCAATTTTTACTATTTAAAAAAAATAATTATAATAAGTAATTTATATGATGATGAATTTATCGATGAAATCGAATATTTTTATTCGTTAGATGAAGTTAGTAAAATTATGAAACCTCATATTGGTAGTGTTAGAAAACCTTTCTATTTGAAAACATTAATCGTGAATAATCTACCAATGATCAGATTTGGATCTAATTATTAATAAACATGTCGTATTTAGACTTTGGGCAAGAATTTCCATTACTAATTGTAGACTTTTAAGATATGTTTTTCAAAAATTTCATTAGTTAGATCAGTATTTGCTTTTTGACTTTTCAGATCCATAAAGAATTTTATTTCTTACTTCTTTGGTATTGACTTTACTCACTTTTTAAAAATGATATTTTTAGAGCGAGCAAAATTATGCACCGCAGATCTAGTTTAGAGACACGTTTTTTGTATATCTTGCATTTTTCACTTTTTTTCTTGATTGGCCGTTAGTATTGTGAAGCTTTAGACGATCTCCTAAAAGGCAACTATTCTTTATTGATTTTATTGCTCTATTGACACCAATAGAAAATTTATTACCAACTTAATAGAATTTTTAATAAAATCAATAAAACCAATAAAAATTTTATTCTATTATGACAACACTGATTAACACTTTTGTGAAAATTCAAATTTTTAGAGTAATTAAATAATAATAACGATATATATTTCAACCAAAAATTGCATAAAATAGCACCCTGTCCAACTTCCTAGCTTTTAGCTTATGAAGTTACTGAACAATTTGATTCATATTACTATGTCGGTTAAGTTGATTAAAAATTAATTTATATTATCATTATATGTAATAGATATTTCACGGTTCCTATGCTTGTAATATTTCTGATTAAAATTTTTTTGATATTTTCACGGCATTACATAATCATAAAAATATTATCAAAAATGTTCACGGGAGAACATTAGGGGCTGTGGGATATAAATAAAAATAAAATAAACATACGTAATGATTTCGAAAAAAATGTAAATTGTAATACACGTTTTTAATAAATAATATTAAAAGAATATTGATTTATTATAAACAGCCAATGTTTTTAACATCTGATCTACATTAAGTGTTACTAATAGAAGATTTAATTGTTATCTTAATAAATCCTTGAAAATATAATATCCATACTAAATTTAGACTCTTTATCAAGTTTGGAAATTAATCTGAAACTTTACGAATAGCAATTATCAATCAAAATCTTCGATAAATAACTTTCTTATTTAATCAATAACTATAGTCAACTTTATTAGACAAGGACTCTTTTACTTATCTTTTTTATTTTGGTTAGTGTTAGAAATTCTTATAAAATAAAGTTGAACTCTTGTACAGTAAGTTATGTTCACATTCAAATATGTACTGTAAGTTTTGTGAAGAGAAAAAATTTTATTTATTTCATGCTTTCTGTTACCTACTAAAGAATCATATTTATTCATTATTTCAAAAATAAAAATTATATAGCCACAAATCTTGATTTTAAATTTCCTATCGCTATAGTTAATCAACAAAGCAAAAAACCTCGGCCAAAAATTTCTAAATCAAGCAAAAAAATTAATAAAGTTCATAATGAACGCAGTCGACGGAAAGATGAAAATGAAATACTTGAGCAAATTGCAAAAAGTTTGCCTGTCCTAATGACTATTGAAAGAAGAATACCGAAAATAGATATTTTGAAGTTTGCACTTGAATATATTAAAGATTCTAAACAAGAAATGCAAAAAGTTCAAAAAGAAATTGAAATGCTACATACTGTTAATTTATTTTATAACAAATATGGATTTGATTTTTTATATAGTAGTTAGCTTTCATCTTACTATTAAATTAAGTTTACAAATTAAACTTCATTTAAGTAAATTCAATTTCATGTAGCAATTATAAGATTTATTTTTTGTTAAGACACCCTTATCGGGCTTCAAAATGCCCAAATTTGTAAAAGACCCGGGGTACTTTGAAGAACGGAATAAAGAAACTTCAATTTATTTTAATTTATGAATTTTATAAATTTTATAATTAATTTAAAATCAATCGCGAAATAACGGGCATAATAATGCGCACCCACATTGGGTTTCAAAAAATTTATAATAGAACAGAATTGGGAAATTTTATCTTTGACGCCCATGTGCATACTCTAAATAACGCATACATATAACTCAAAATATACTTTTAATTATTTCAATATTAACTCCTTACTGAAAATTTTATAATTTTAAGAAAAAAAT